AAACGCCTGATTTACCTTTGCTCTGGGAGTAAAAGCCAGGCGAAAGCCCAAATATAAGACAAGATATGGCCGATTCTCCAGGAACGAGTGACGGTGAGTTTCTTTGTTAACAGTCGTATTTCAATCTTATGAACGTAATGTCGTTCAATACAGAAAACGGTTTTCAGTGTTAGGAGTTACATTTGCTTGAATCCAGAACATTATGATCTGTATTTCCGATTTTGCGTGTTGAATTCTTTTAAGGTGGTTGAACACAACTAGTGTTCACATTCTCGCTCGCTTTCATTTTAGCCGCAACTGAGTGGCCAAATTCTCATCTTGTATTTCGTAATCATAACCTTTTCGCCAACCAGTTGCGGATTCACAACTGAGGACAACATTTTGTTCTGTTTTAGAACCTGCCAACAAGAAAAAACGAGGTTCTGCGTTGCATTGTTGTGTTCCACAATGTAACAATGACTCCCGTTACAACAGCTCGTTGTCTTTTCATCGTTTTCCTAAGAAAGACGAACAACTCGAAGCAAACTGGATAGTAAAAATGCGAAAAACTTATAGCCTTTGGTTGTGTGCCAGAAGCCAGATTCTTTCTGGGCATACGCTTCAACCTCAGAAAATGCTAGGTCAGGAAAGAAATCGTGGTATATAGTAATATCACCTCTAATTCAATGTATATCTTCTAGAATAAAGATATCTGGCGTAAAACTTCGTTTCGTATTGATAACACAAGATAACATCGAACAATTTATTATTATGAGTCAGTAATATCCAAGACTGATAAAACGAGCGAGAATGTAAACAACACTAGTTGTGTTCAACGATCTCAAAAGAATTCGACACACAAAATCGGAAATGTAGACCATAATCTTCTGGATTCATGCAAATATAATTCCTAACACTGATAAGCATTTTCTGTATCTAAGATTGAAATACGAGTGAAGACAAAGAAACACACCGTCACTCGGTCCTAAATTAAAGAAGCGGCCATATCTTGCCTTATCTTAGGGCTTCCGCCGAGCTTTTTCTCCAACAGCAAAGGTAAATCAGGCGGAATTCAAGCACGATCAAACAAAAGTCACGATAAACTTTTTTTTTTGCGTCCTTAAACCAAATCCACGATGATTTTCAACCAAAAAGTCAAATTTCGTCTCGCTTGGTCACCACGATGTGCGGGACGCTGGTTTGCTTGCTCGCCAGCAATGCGTTGCTATGTGGTATCCAAGCACGTGATCAAGTCCTGCAGAGCCTATTCCGAGAAAAAGCGGAAGTGAGCAAGAGCAGACAGTACAAATTGATCATTACCCGCTCGTTCTTCGACGCTTTAGCTGAGTTTCAACCATCATGCCTTACATCTTCGTTCGTGGCAGCCCAGACTTCAGAATCTACCAGACTGTGAGCTAAAGGAAGAAGAGATAGTAACTAATTCAATAACAAGTCTGAGCGAGTCAAGTTACGAGAAGTAAAAAAGTTGAAAACTGCAAAGTTGTCAGAAGACGAAGCAAAGTTGAAACGAAGGAAACGAGCAAAGTTGAGAACTGGTGAGACAGGAACCTGGTTGGAGAAACGGGAGTTTGGTTTTGGCAGGGCACTGTTTGTTGGTGGAGCGTGGTGATTTGTGGACAAGAGAAGAACACGGACGCGGGCGTAAGGTGAAACCCAACCGAACTGAACTAAAAAAAAAAACCTTTTTTTTATCTTAATAGTAATAATCTTGTAAATAGTTTTAGTATACTGTAGTTTAAGTTAGCGTATTCCTGTAAATTAATTAGATCATTGTATTATCGTTATTGTTAGTCGCTTTATTGTTTTAATTAGCATAATAAATATCTCTAGGCCTACGTTTAGTTGTATTGTGGCGTGTGTTCTCGGACTCGTTTATGTTCTGTGTTTTGTTTGTGTTAGGGGGCACCCACCCTTGTGGCGCGGATTCGTCACAGTTGCGTTCCAGGCTTTCAACGTATGACCGTAAAAGCATTCAGTCAAACAAGGACCTTCATTAACTTAAACAACAACGAGGTGGCTAACGCTGTACTGGACGACTTAAAAAATCAGCTTGGCCCGGTAACAACTTCTGAGAACCCTCAGAAACTCGTCAC